TTAATCAGATATTATTTAAACTGTTATATACTGTTTATGACACACAGTCCTAACTGTGTGTTAGAACAATAGATGAAAGAGTGATTCGAGCACTAATCATGGTCAAACAGTTATTTCTGCACATACATGGAATAAATTCACCACAACTTTGGAAAGCCTGAGTTTCATCCAGTTTTGCAGCTCTGCAGTCAGGGGTTCTTTGTCTCAGTCTCACAGCAGGGGTCCCCTCAGTCTCACACCAGGGCATGGTCTTCATCCAGTTTGGCTCTGTAAGTTCTGAAACTCAAGAGAGATGTGTTGCAAAAGGTCTGTTTGCAGCAGTTTGGTTCTGAAAGGTTCTGACTTATCCTTAATGGTTCTAGGGATCTAGTTCCCCTAGGGCCCGCATCTCCCCTGTGGACCCCAGCTTCATGGGCAAGGGAGAGGAGGCAAGGAGAGCAGGAGCCCAAAGAGTGAGGGGGCCAAAAGAGAGACTGGAGCAGAAGAGAGCAAAACAGGAAGAATCCTGTGTGCTCTCTGGTTATTATTATTATATTCACAATTTTGTTTTTAGATTTTTTTTACATGTATTCACAACTTTAGCTTTTTAGATTGTTTACATTTATTCACAATTAGTTTTTAGTTTTGTTTTTTTACCTACATATTTGTACAAAATTTTCCTTTTTGAAATTATCGATTACACAAGTATGAGACCCAAAGCGAAAGGGCGAAACTGGTGTTGGAAAAATTTTCTTTCTTTCTCAATATATTGATGTATGCTATGCACTCTCTAAAAGTGTTTTTTTTTTCTTAGCTAGTTTGTCTCACTTGAGAGGCCACCAAATGTCTGAGTGGGAGATGGTTATAGACAGGACATACCTTTTTCCCATACCAAAACCACATACTGTACTTTTTCAAGGTACCTGTTTAACCAAAGTGTCTGTTATTGTTTTGACTCTGCCTTAAAGCAATGGAACAACTTTGTCTAAGATAGAACTGGGCAGACCATCATGCTGTAAATGTGAATATCTTTTTCTCCTTTACTTTGCAAAGTAAATAAAGTGCCGACTGAGTAAATCCATCGATCTCCTTTATTTAACTGTACTAAACAGTTGAAAACTTTTTTTCACATGACAGAGAGGCTAGCGTCGTTAGCTCTTAAATACCTCATTGCCAGCCATATGGTAGCATCTGTTTTTTGAGTTCTCTAACCCTTTTGTTCTAGCTGGTCCCACCCCAGAACAGGACCTGCTGGGCCTTCTGACCTAACCCATTATGTCCTGGTTTTGTTACAATTTAATAGATTCCTGAGTCATTGTTCATTTTTCACTGTAAACTGAATATAACTTCACAGTTTTAATTGTATTAAAAATCTTTGCAAAAGGGTCATTCTGGTTATTATCTGCTGTTATTTTAAATGTCACCTTGAATGGATTAAGCTTTAAAACTTAAAAATTCCTCCGAGACTCTGGAACGGACTCTTAAAACCTCTTTCCCCTTTTTATTTGCTTTTTTACTTTTCCTTATTTTCAATAGTGTTTAGTGTTTGCATTGTCAGACCTAGTGGTGATGCCAGTCGTCACCAGCTGTTGTGACTTCAGTGGTCTCTAGGTTTGGCGACGCTGGCAGCCATCAGGTCTTGTGATGCCAGTCTCTAACTAGATATGGTGACAGCAGTCACCATCAAGTGTGAACAAGCAAGTTGCCACCTAGTATGGGCGTTGCAAAGTTTCTTGATCCTACCCGATGTCAGATGAACCCAACTAACCCCATGAAGCCTTTCGTGCCAGTCCAAATATTACGCACACATGAGTATGCACCAAGGTGGAGTTACCTCAAAACTTTACTTCGGGAAATTTCCTTCCTTCTACTTATTAGAAACAATCATACTGTGATGGGGGTTATTATGTTATAAAGGTACCATTGTTTTTTAACCAGTGGTCTTTTGTGTGTTTTTTTTATACAGTAAACATTCAGGCCAGATCCACCTTCCTTTGGTTAACATTTAAATGGACAGAGACAACTTCTTTGGTTGGTGATTAATAACTCTGTTGATAACCATAGTCTAAATTACTAAATTGGTGGATGCAACCGAAAACATGCAGCTGAAATTAGTTTTCTCTGTAGTGTGTCGGGGCTCTCCCTTAGAGATAGGGTGAGGAGCTCAGTCATAAGCGTCGTTAGACCTATTTAAGGGTGGCTTCAGTCACCCTTTCTTTGGCATTAGCCACCCTATAATTATTTTACGATTTAAAAAAAAATAAAAAATTTTCTGTATTTATTTTTTCCTCATATTTTCCCAAAACAAATGCAGTAAAGCACCAAATAAAAGCCATAAAGAAGACAAGTTAATCTGAACAATCATAGGCGTAACTTCCTTAAACAAGTAAAAAAATGCCAGGCGGACTTTTGAGTGACAGGCCTAAAAGGGTTAAGGACTGGTGTGGACATGTCCCCACCAATATTTTGTACACGTATTTTGCTTTCGGTGCTGTGTATATCTGATTAAA